TCCCAGCCCCGGAGCCCCAGAATTTGGGAATAAGGGAGAAAACTCTTTGTAAGCTTTGAAACGCAACACAGAAGTCAGAGCATTTCGCAGCTCACAGCTTTATTCCTGCCCGCCAGAGTCCGAACTGGGTGCTCCCTCTCCTCTGAACACAGTCCGGCTGCCCCTTGTCCAGCGGGTACCACGCCCAGCCCCAGCCCCAACCTCTCCCAGGACCGCCGTGTCCCCGACCAGTGGCACCACAACCGGATCCTACTGGGCCCCTTTTAGCACTCACAGATCGTCTGGCCCGGGCCCGCTCCTCTCCGCTCCATGTTCCTCCTCCTAGCAGGTTTGAATCTCCCGCCGCCCAGCCACCGCCCCTCACCGTTGCCACAGGCGGACAGGATACTTCCGGTCTATGCCGCAGGGGGCTCTGGGATTTGTAGTACCAGGTTTCGGAGGTGTGACACCAGGTAAGAAGAAGGATACCGCTCAAGGCTGGGAGGACCGTTCCCGTTTTTGTGGTACTTTGGGTCGCTATTTCTCCAGGGCTTCTTCGCTGCTAAATCGTCTTATTTCAAGTAGCCTCTGCTCCTGCCCCTGTTATTTTCATTTCCCCCTAATATTCCCATTAACCCCACTCCTGCTCTATAGTGTTCTTTGGTCTCGCTAACTTGAGGGCCTATTTTGTGCTATGCGCTGAACAAGGTGGTGCTGATGCAGAGATGCGTGCGTGCTAAGTCGCTTTAGTCGTGTCCAACTCTTTGCGACCCTGTGGACTGTAGCCCGCCAGGCTCCTCTGTCCATGGGATTCTCCAGGCAAAAATACTAGAGTGATTGTCATGCTCTCCTCCGGGGAATCTTCCCGACCCAGGGATCTAACCTGCATCTTTTATGTCTCCTGCATTGTCAGGCGGGTTCTTTACCACTAGCACCACCAGGGAAGCCCAATGTACAGATAAACAAACACAGTTAATGCCCTAAAGAAACTTGCTTTGAGTGATAAACACATAATCAAGTAACTCAGAGGCCAGTGATACACAGAGGGAGCAGATAATTGCTGTTGTTATAAGCAGTGAAATAATAATGCTTTGTGAAATAAGTCAAACAGAAAAAGGCAAATACTATATGATATCACTTATATGTGGAATATAAAAAAATAATACAATGAATATATATACAAAACAGAAACAGACTGACAGACACGGAAAACACAATGTTGGTGACCAAAGAGAGAGGGACAAATTAAGTGTATGAGAGAAACAGATATAAATACTATACATAAAACAGAAAAGCAACAAGGATTTACTGTATAGCACAGGAAGTTATACCCAATATCTTATAATAGCCTATAATAGGATACATCCCCTGGAGGAGGGCATGGCAACCCACTCCAGTATTCTTGCCTGGAGAATCCCCATGGATAGAGGAGCCTGGCAGGCTGCAGTCCAAGGGTTCTCAAAGAGTCAGACATGACTGAACTGCTAAGCACAGCACATGATAGGTTATAATCTGCAAAAATACCGAATCACTATGCTGTGCACCTGAAACTAACATAGGATTATAAATCAATGATACTTCAATTAAAAAAATTCAGAGTACTGGGTGAAGTAAGTGTTTGAGGAAGAGTATGTAAAGTAAGAAAGGAGCAAAGGGCAGAGTGTTGGGGAACACTGGTATTTTAGAGGTGGACAGGGACTTCCCTGGTCGCCCAGTGGCTAAGACTCCATGCTCTCAAAGTAGGGGCCTGGGTGTTCCATCCCTGGTCAAGGAACTAGATCCCACATGCTGCAACCAAGGAGTCTGCATGTTGCAACTAAAGGTCCCACATGCCACAACAAAGATCGAAGATCCTGCATTCCACAACTGAGACCTGGTGCAGCCAAATGAATTAAAATAAAAAAAAAAAAAAGAAGGGGACAGAAGGCAAGCAACGGAGATGGAGAAGGAGTTGTTAGTACAGGAGAAAGAGCCAGGACACAGTGGCTCATGGAGCCATGTAAGCAGAGACTTGTAAGGATATGTCAGATACAGCAGGGAATCACACAAGAAAAATGATCCAGAAATGATCACTAGATTATTAAGAGGTCATTGGAACCTTGGTGAGATCAGTTTCAGTCCCTGCCCCCTTCCCAAATCATTTTTTTTTTCCCTTAAGAGAGGCTGCTCAGTGAGCAACAGACTGAGCAGCATATTTGACTCTGGTTATGCTGTGGTAGCATCCTGAAGGCCCAGCCCATAGGCAGAAGTGGCAGGCAGCTAGGAGAGCCTGCCTCGGGCATGGGCACTATCTGTGGCACACAGCACTGGCCTTGCACACGGCAGGCACTCAACCAAGTCTGCCTGGCAAATGCAGGTGAGCCCAACTACTTCCTTATAATTGTGTTTCTGGCCATGGCCTCTCTACTTAAAAGAGGCCTTTCTCCTAGATAAATGAGGACATTTGCTATCTGATGCAGGCCACCCTTGGTGAGTTAGGGCAGTAGGTGCCTGTTTTCCTGGGTCCTGCTGTTCTCTCATTAAGCAGAACCTGGAGGTTGCAGATCAGTGGAGCTGGGAAAAGAAGTCCGGGGGCAGAGAGGCTCTTCTGATCTCCAGGCCTTTCCTGACCATCAACTTTTCACCCTCTTCCCAAATGTAAAACTACCACACAGAAGCACAGTGTATGAGTGTGTTCGTGTGTATGTGAAAGGGTTCACTGCTGGGACAACCCACACCTCATTAAAACTTGCAATCACGGTTATCATGGTTAGTGGAAGGGACCTTAGGCTAGTTAGCCCAGAATCAGAAAACCTGGGCTCTAATCTCAGCCTCATGACTGCTTTGTGACCTCAGGCAAGTCACACCTGCTCTTCAGAGGTCCCTTCCTCTGTGAAATGAGGGAATGTGATAGATGGTCTTTGAAGCTATAACTAGCAACAAGCCCTTGCTGCTTTGATTCTTGCTTGAAGTGAAGGACTTGAAGCATGCGTCTACAAGAGTGGGGAGAGATGGGGCAGGAAGGGCAAAGAAATCCAGGTATCTGTGCCCAAGCACCAGCAGAGTTCAGCACTAAGATAGGATATTTGAGCTGTCAATCAAAGAATTCCCTAGGCTTTGAGGGCGGTACCCGGTTGTCTGGTAACCCCAGGGGCTCTGAGCTAAGAGCTGAGAGAGGTAACCCTAGCCAGAGGGACCATTCCAGAAAGTCAGCTACGGAGAAGATCAAAGAAGGTAAGGCGCTTGTGCCTGGGGCCCCAAGGTCTGGTGGGGGTAGCCAGGAATGCCCAGGAAGGAGGGCCTCAAAGAGACAAAATCTCGGGGCGCTGAGAAGAACAGGGAGAGTCTCTAAAAAAAGAAAATATAACACCTGCGCGCGCCTAAAAAAAAAAAAAAAAAAGCAGCAGGGAAGAAGAAGAAGAACATGGGAGGGACTGAGAACTCAGCTCTTGGGCCTTTTCCACTCCTTTTCCTGTCTCTTGGGAGAAGAATTCAGGAAAAAGGCTTTGCCTTTCTAGCGGAGAGATACTAAAGAGAAACACATGCTGATGAGAGAAATGTATTTGGTTTAACAGTGCCCTGGAGACAACAGCAGGATGTTAGGCGACCAAAACTAGCAAGCAGACAGAAAGTCAAGGAGGCAGGGGAGAAAGAGGTTCCCCTTGAGATAGGGAGCAGGCAGTGAACAGAGACACAGAAGCTTTGCTCCTGAAAGTTGGCCCCTTGCCAATTACATGGCCTAGTCAGTTTTGGGCCCCCAGTGCCTTGTACGGCTCCTGGCACACAGCAGGAGCTCACTGAGTTTTTGTTGAACCGACTTGAACTCTACCTTGAGATTAGACAGCAGGAGTATGTAGATTATGAGTGGATGTCTTTGGATGCACAGAGTGAAGGAGATGGTGGAGCAGAGGCCCTGTATGTGCTTTGTTCATCCATCCATTCATTTATTCATTCAGTATACCTTTTTTATTGTAGCAAAAGTCTATATGTAACATGAAATTCACCATTTTAAACCTTTTCTAAGCATACAGTTCAGCAGCATTAAGTATACTCACATTGTTGTGCAGTCTTCACCACCATCCATTTCCACAACTTTTTCATCTCATTCGGTAAACATATGTTGAGAATCTACTGTTTTAGAACATTCGAGCTGCTCCAAATCTAGTAGGGGAAATGGTTAAGAAAGTCAACAACCCTAACCCGATGTGAAAAATGCCATAAAAGACCTAAGTATAGATAAGCACTAAGGGAGTGCAGAAGGACCCAGCTGGTTGAGGGGAGGGGCTTTCTGAAGGAAGCTGTTACTTGAAATTGTTGCAAGAAAGAGAGTGGTTCAAGAGAGGATGGCCACATCCCAGGTCCAAGTCCCTGGGGTGGATGCCAAGTATGTGTTCTTGGCATCATGCAGGAAAGAATTCAATGTTGAGCCATAGTAAAGAGAAAGAAGGTTTAGTCAGGGAAGAAACACACTCCATAGACAAAGTGTGTGGGGTTGTCAAGTTTTACATAGGCTCTTGGTGGGTATCCTCAGTATTGAGGTGATTACATAGGCTAATGATTGGGAGGAGTATTACAGTTGTTTTGGAAAAGGGGTGGGGATTTCAAGGAATTGGTCCACCACCCACTTTTTGACATTTTGTGGTCATCCTTAGAACCATCATGGCACCTGTGGTGTGTTACACTGAGAGTATAATGAGGCTCAAGGTCAAGTGGAAGTTGAGTCCGCCATCTTGGACCCAGTTGGTTCTAATCAGTTTATGTTGTGTCCTCAGGCTAAGTCATATTTTTTAAAGAGTGTGCCCTGCCCCCTCCTTGTCTTAAAATGAGTCTTGGAGGACGAACAATTAGTCAGTCTAATGAGAGTGAGAGCTGATGTGGTGTCCAGTGGGATAGGTGAAGCAAAGTGAGATGGCAGAGAGAAATCCTTGAAACCCTGAGGGTCACACCAGGGCAGAAGTAGAGCTGAATTGCTGTAGAGGGACAGTGGCCCTTTGGAGGACCAAGGATAACACACTGACCCCTCTGCTCCCTGTTGTCAGCACTATGTCTTCCCTCGATACTGAGGATGCCCCCCAAGAACCCTCGCTCTCATCCTCAAGCTCCAAGAAGAAAAAGAAGAAAAGAAAGTGGCTTCAGCAAGAGGCCACCATCCAAGCCCTCACCAGGGCTGGCCACAGGGCCCTACTGGCTGGCCGGAACCGTGAGGCCTTGACCAGCTTCCAGAGGGCCTTCCTCCTGGCTTCCAAGTCACCACAAACCAGAGACACCCCTGTTCTCCAGGCCTGTGCCTTCAACCTGGGGGCTGCCTACGTGGAGACTGGGGACCCAGCCAGAGGCCTTCAGCTGCTCCTACGCGCTCAGCCTCAAGAGACGGCCCCGGGCGGGTGTCATGGCGACCAGTGTTTCAATGTGGCTTTGGCCTACCATGCCCTGGGTGACCTGCCTCAAGCCTTGGCCTGGTACCACAAGGCCCTGTGCCACTACCAGCCACTAGGTGACCAGGGACAAGCCCAGGCAAAAATGGGAGCCTGCTACCGGGCTCTGGGACAGCCTGGGCTAGCAGCCCACTGCCTGCAAGAAGCGAGCCGGGCCTATGCCCAAGCAGGGCAGCCCCAGGCTTCAGCCCTGGCACTGGGGGCTGCAGCAGGGTGTATGCTGGAGAGCGGGCAGCATGGGGTGAGTGAAGTCATGCAGGTGCTGGAGGAAAGTCGGAGGCTTGCTGAGAGAAGCACTGAGCAGGGACTGCTGGGTGAGGCCTGGGGGCTGAGAAGGTGCGGGATCTGGGGGGTTTCAGACCGGGTGATACTCTGAGAAATGCGGTGGAAGCAGAGGCATTTCTGAGGGTTGGGAGGGGCTGGGGGAACCCTGGGAGAGTGGGACAGAGGCTGCACCAGTACAGCTTCAGCAGCATTTGACCAGTGACGTTGACCATGCCCTCTAGGGCAACTCTATAACGATCTAGGCCTGGGCTACTCCCAGCTCCAGCTGTTCCCGCTAGCGGTAGAGGCCTTCCTGCAAGCCCTGCCCCTGTGCCGGGAGCCAGGAGAGGAGGCCACAGTGCTAAGGAACCTTGGGATGGCCCACAATGCCCTCGGCAACTATCAGGAAGCCCGGGAGTTCCACCAGAAGGCTGCCGACCTGCACGGTGGGTACCAGGGACTGGGGAGTGAGGCTGAGACCAAGGGGCTAGGAGTAGGGTTCCAGCTGAAGCCCCAAGGCTGGAACTCTAGAGCTAATTATGGTTATACTTTAGAACTAATTGGACTGGGAAGTCCAGAACCAGGGAAGAGAAAGTGGGGGTGGGAGGGTGCAGGAGATGGGACAGCCAGGCAGGACAGAGGGTTATGGCCCCAGAGGCTGAGGCCTGGGGTTGGGAAGGCAGCAACGGGCAGAGAGAAGAACCTGGCTGGAAGGGGAGGCCTGAAGTGGAGCCCAATGCTTCTAAATGATTGTGTGACTTTTCAGCACCTTATTTTCACTTTCTGAGCTTCAGGTTGCATGTATATAAATATGGAGCTATTAATACCTGCCTTGCCTGCCTCCCTGGGTTTTTATGTGGCTCAAAGTAGCCTGGGGAGGCATTCAGGCCAAAACTCAGGCTGGGTTTCAAGAGTTCAAGCCTTCATGGTGCCTCTGGAGGTGTGCCAGGGTTGTGCAGCAGGACTCCTGGCAACCCTCCCTTCCTCGTTGGGGGGCAGGGTTCTGATGCCCCAGCAGGCCAAGTCGTCTCTTAGGATGGGGTGGGCTCTGTCCCCAGGCTCTGTGGGGCAGCGGAGGGAGCAGGGCTGGAGCTTTGGCAGCCTGGCATTTGCAATGAGCCAGCTGGGAGACCACAAGGCCGCCAGAGACAACTACCTTCATGCTCTGCAGGCTGCCCGGGACACTGGTGAGGGGGAGGGGTTTGCAGGTGGCTTGGGGTGGGGCAAAGCTTGAGGATCCTTGGGGCTGGTGGGGAGGACCTCTGGAGGGGAGGGTCGGTGGGGTTGGGAGCCAAGGGAGGACCTCTCAGACTGTCTTCCCTAGGGGATGTGAAGGGGCAATGGCAGGCCTGTGAGGGTCTGGGGGCTGCTGCAGCCAGACTGGGACAGCATGACCAGGCTCTGAAGTACTATAAGGAAGCGCTGGCCCGGTGTCCGGTGAGACCCTCCATCCCAGAATCTAACCGTTTCCCAATAGCCCTCCAGTTGCTCTCCTGACATGCTTTCTCCAGCTGATATTCCTGTCTCTCCCCACCATCCATTCACTCATCAAATGTGCATTGGGCACATGGGGTGCTGGGTCCTGGGACACTATTGTGAGGAAGAATCCACCTCTGTCCACGGTTCTGGGTAGGTGGTGGCAGGATGCTGGCAAAGGCACAGGAATGGGCTAGAAAAGAAAGGAGACAAAGGCCCCTCCCCTCCTCCTTTTCTATTTCTTCCCCGGTCCCGAAGCCCAGGCTTTCCCCACTACCCCATTATCCACTCTCTCCCCAGAAGGAGTCAGATTCTGTGCGAGAGCGGCTGGTGGCCAAGCTGACAGATGCCATAAGGACCCACTTGGCCCGGGGTGGGCTGCTTCCGACTCACACCCTGGTGAGATGACACCCGAGACAAGCAGTAGGGGGTGGGGAGAGGTTACCCAGAGAAAGGGGTGCTGATGCGTGGAGCTGATGTCAAGGATGCTGCACTTGACTGCTCGTCTGTGTTCATCTGTCCCAGGGCCTGCATGGGGGACACATGCCACTTTCCAGAGGCCACCTGGAGGTAGGGTGGTGGGTGGGGGATTGTGGCATGTCCCCAACACCAGGGCTGTGCCAGGGCTTTGGCTGATTGGTAACTAGCCCAGTGGGTGAAGGTCAAAGGCTGCCATTGAAGATGGGGCTTCCCAGGTGGCTCAGTGGTAAGGAATCCGCCTACCAATGCAGGAGCCCCATGAGACACAGGTTCCATCCCTGGGTTTGGAAGATCCCTTGGAGGAGAAAATAGCAACCCACTCAGTATTCTTGCCAGGATAATCCCATGGACAGAAGGAGCCTAGTGGGCTACAGTCCATCGAATCCCAAAGAGTCAGACATGACTGAGCACACTTGCACACACACCATCAAAGATAACTGAGCCAAACCTACAGGACGTGGTTTTGTCTTTGGCTGCAGTTCCCAAAAGAGCCACAGGATGGGAGCAGTGCTCCAAGGATGTTCTCTCTCTCCTCTCATTCTCTAGGGGACAGTTCTCTGTGGGTCTCTACCTGCGCCCCTCCTTCTCCGAACTCCTCCTCCCTCCCTCTCTACCTCCCATCGTCACTCAACAGGTCAATGTCTCTTCAGCTGCCTCTTCCCTCACACTTTGAGATTTCTCAGGCAACCTACTTACCCCAGGAATTGAAATCATGCTTGAATATTTGTTATATTTATTTGCTAGGTTTTATGTCTCTACCACACAATTGCACTCATCTCACACGCCAGCAAAGTAATGCTCAAAATTCTCCAAGCCAGGTTTCAAAAGTATGTGAACCATGAACTTCCAGATGTTCAAGCTGGATTTAGAAAAGGCAGAGGAACCAGAGATCAAATTGCCAACATCCACTGGTCATCAAAAAGGCAAGAGAGTTCCAGAAAAACATCTACTTTTGCTTTATTGATTATGCCAAAGCCTTTGACTGTGTCAATCACAATAAACTGGAAAATTCATCAAGAAATGGGAATACCAGACCACCTGCCTCCTGAGAAATCTGTATGCAGGTCAAGAAGCAACAGTTAGAACAGGACATGGAACAACAGACTGGTTCCAAATTGGGAAGGGATTACGTCAAGGCTATATATTGTCACCCTGCTTATTTAACTTCTATGCANAGCTCCGGGAGTTGGTGATGGACAGGGAAGCCTGGCGTGCTACAGTCCATGGGGTCTCAAAGAGTCAGACATGACTCAGTGACTGAGCTGAACTGATGTCCTCTCTTGGGAAGATCCCCTGGAGAAGGGAGTGGCTACCCACTCCAGTATTCTTGCCTGGAGAATTTCATGGACAAAGGAACCTAGCAGGCTACAGTCCATGGGATTACAAAGAGTTGGACATGACTGAATGATTAACACTTCACTTTTTCACTTTATGTCCTCTCTTACTTGAAAGAGTAGGACATCATATTTATAGTTTGCAAGTAAAATTATCTTGGTATAAGCAGATGACTGGATTAGGGGTCAGAAGACCTAGATTCTATCTGAAGTTGGTTACCAACTTTCTATGACTTTCTCCCTGGAGGCCCCAGGAAGGATGAGGTGGTCATCAAGCTCTGGCCAGGTCTGATAGTCCATAAGCTTGAGTTATAACTTGAGAGTTACTACTGGGGACCTTAACAGAACAAAGGGCCTTGCCCTGTAGTTTCATCCTTAGACATAAGGCACAGCCCAGCTGTCTTTAGCACTTCTCGGTCTCTCTGGGCCCATTGTGTGTGGAAGGAACATACATTCACACCACAACCACAGCTGGGGTGGTCATTTTTCTCTAACTGATCCCATTTACCCCTCTTCATTCCTAGACCTCAGCTCCAGGGAGATCCCCGGCTCCAGGTGGCGCCTGCCTGGTGGAAGGGACCCCAGCCAGGGTAGACAGGGGCACACTAGGAGTGCAGCATAGGTAAGCAGGGCCGGAGCAGAGCTTCAGGGACGGATGTGGCCTCGGGGGTGTGTTGGGAGGTGTCACAGCTTGGCACAGTGGGTGGGACGTGGGGAGGAGGGGACCTGGCCAGAGTACCGCTCTGCCCCCCGTTTCCTGCCTCTACAGATCTTCTGGTGGGTGGGAAGATGAGTTAGAGGAAGGCCACGAGGAGAAGGAGGAAGAGTCAGCGAATGTTCCCACAACATCTTGGGCACCAAGGCTGGAGGGTGAGTCTAAGGAAGCTGCTTCTAGCATCACCTTCCTCCAAATGGGAGTGCTCTTACTTCCTTTACCCCACCCTCCCACTTGTCATATTTCCAAGGCCAGAACCAGCCCTCCCCGCTTTCTGCTCTCTCAAGGCCCTGGACCATTTTGCCTAAACCCTTTCCTGAATTTGCCTCTTCCCCCCTGCTCCTGAGGCTTTCCTAACATCTAGAACTTTGTATCTTACCTTAGCTTACTAGTCTCTTCCCCCAAAGGCTTTGCACTCTGAGGACAGAGTTCCTTGCTTCTTGGTGACTTGGATTCACTGATGTCTTCTTTTCCGGGTGTTATCCTCCAGGCACCAATAACACTCTGGTGAATCATTCCCATCTAGTCAGCCCAAGTTTGCCAAGCACCTGCCCTGTACAGGTGGACCGTCTGCGTACAGTGACCAAAACAACCCCTGATACCCACCCTCCTGGTTCTTCTCCCAAAGATGTCTCTTTCTGGCCATGATGGTTCTTGAGGCAGTGAGGCCTGTGATGAATGTGTTTGTTTCTCTCCATCCAGGCCCAAGACCCAAGACCCATCTCTCATTTGGAGGTCAAGGCCCCCTCAGAATGGAGAACCCTGGCCTTCTGGTACCCAGCAGGCCCCGTGGCAATAGGTGGGTAACTGGGAGGAGGAATGAAGCCTGGAGAATGGATAAAGGAAGTAGGAGGGATGTGACTTTGGATGACTTTAATGGAACATGATCACTGTTAAAGTTGGGGGAAGAGGTGGTCTGTTGCTTGGGGACATGGTGCTTTGAGCCTCTCTGACTTTGCCCTTTAGCAATCTGCACAACCTTCACCCAGCTCTGGAGGTCCCGAGTGTCCCCCGCCTCCTGCATGGCCTGAGTGTAGGCCTTGGCGAAAGGGCGAGTCCTGCTGAATGGGGAAACACACGGCTTCAGCGTATTCCCCCCTGCCCTGGAGCCCACCAGCCAAGGTAGGGCCAGAGAGGGTTACAGAAGCTGGAGCCAGAGCAAGCTGCCTTCTCTTCTCTCCCTAGTCACTCCCACTGCCCCCTCTCTGCCTCCTTCAGGTCATTCAGACAGCCCAGGAAACCTCCCGGCAGGAACCCTCAGAGGAGATCCATGGAGTCTGGCTTCTGCATAGTCATGTGACCCTCCCCTGTTGGTCACAGCACGGCCTCTGCAGTACCTACCCAACATACTCACCTCAGGGACTTCTGGGACTGAACCCCTTCCCCGTCGTTTCCAGTGAGGACTGCATGGGCATGGAAGACAATGTCTGCAAGTGCGCCCCCGAGCAGGCTGGACAAGGGCTTGGCAGTCTCAGCACCAAGGCATTCTGGGTGCTTCTCATCAAGATTTTTGGATTCAATAGGGAAAAGAAAAAAGGAAAATGGATGGTAAATTTCTCCCCTTTCTTTCTGGCATCAAACTTCACAATCTGGCCTTGCCAGTTCTTAAAAGCATGACATCTTGTTTAAGACACTTTAGGGTCACTGACTCCATTTTCTCATATGGGAAATGGGGATCTCATGCTACAGAAGATCCACCTTAACTGAGCTATTGATGCACTCCTCTTCCTCCACACACAAAAAAAGCAGATGCTGGATGCAGGGCCCCTCGGGCCTATAGCAGCAGTACCGCTGCTAGCTGCTGCAACAACAGTATTTTGTAACATTGCTCACTTAGCATATGCCATACCCTGTTGTACGTGCTTCACAAGTGCCTTCTCCTTTAATCCTCACAGCAGATGAATCCTCTTTCACAGATGAGGAAAAGAAGGCACACAGGTTAACTGGTTTACCTACCAAGTCACACAACTAGTAAGTGAAGCTGAGATTCATACCTAGGCAGTGAGTACCTTTAGGATGCTGGGCAGTTCAACTCCCCCAGTTAAGCCACTGCTTACCAACAGTTGTTCGTGTTTGATACCAAATGTGTTTATCCCAATTGTACGTGTTATTGTAGTTTGTAATTAAACTGATGAACTAAGAGTGTGAAAACAAGCTGTTTCTATGACAACTAAATTGAATCTTTGGAAGATGCAATTCAGGTGAGTGACTTTAAAAACTACTGTTGAATTATATGTGAGCAGAGAGACTATTAAAAATTGGGGGGAAATCATAAAAATCTCGATGAATTTTGCACTCAGATTGCTTTAAATATACCATCAATTTTTTGTTCCAACTTAAGGAAGCAGACTTCAAACTGGTAGGTGATATGTAAGTGGTGAAGTTTATGCAAGAAAGAAGATGGATAACTACAGTCTTTGGCCTTATCCTCAAAGGCAAGACCCTGGTCACACTTTGACAGACAGCAAATGAACGTTTGTTGAAATAAAATAATTTAGTCCTAGTCATGTAAGATAAGAGGCATTCTACTGCACTGTGAATTACTTCACAATTAGATTTTAAGGATTAATTAAAATATTTGTAGATAGAGGACCTACTAGGTTTCAGGCACATAACCAGGTTTTGTTAATCTTCCTTATCTCAATGGAGCTTTTTATTTTGTCAGGCATTAGAGATGTCTTGACTGAGAAGTAGATTCACTGACTGTAACAAAGCCAATCAAACTGCCTTTAAATGAAGAAAGAAGAAAGGAGAATGATTTTGAGGGACAAGTAGCAGCATCTGCTACACAAGAGTATTGGTACTAGGTCAGGATCAACCATCATTGGCTCTACCATTTTATAGCTGTATTACCTTAGGAAAATTACTTAACTTCTCTCTGCCACTCAACTTCTCATCTATAACATAAGGACAAAAATACATCATAGGATGGACAGGATCAAATTAGATAATATAGGCAGAGCATCTGGAACTCAGCAAATAATCCTCATGCCCCCTTTCTTTAACATTTTTTAATTTATTTTTTTACTGTGCTGGGTCTTCATTGCTGCACAGGCTTTTCTCTAGCTGTGGTGAGCAGGGGCTACTCTCTAGTTGCGGTACTCAGGCTTCTTATTGCAATGGATTCTCCTCTTGTCCAGAGCATGCGTTGTCTAGGCACATGGGCTTCAGTAGTTTCAGCTCCTAGGCTCTAGAGCACAGGCTCAGTAGTTGTGGCACACGGACTTAGTTGCTTCTCTGCCCGTGGGATCTTCCCAGATCAGGGATTGAACCTGTGTCTCCTGCACTGTAGGTAGATTCTTTACCACTGAGCACCAGGGAAGCCCAACATGCCCTTCTTAAATTGGTTTTGAAGGCATTTTCCAGAGTAAACTCCAAAATGTGAAAGGCAGCAAGGTGGAATAGGTTGGGCACTGCCTTCCTGAAGACAGCCTTCATTGGTTGTTTCATAAATTCTAAGTGTGTATGGTGGGATATGTTTTGTGTTATTACTTTATAGCTACAACTCATCTGAATGAAGTCAGCAGTTGATAACCCTTCAGTTATATAGCTCTGCATTTAGAGAGGCATTTCTGCATAGAATAATGCTTAAGACTTCAGACTTTAGGTCAAGCTGCTTGGGTCCTATCTCCACTGACAGCTATCAGTGTATCATTGGACATATCATTCAACATCTTTGAGCCTCAGTTTCCTAATCCACCTTCAGTGCAGGAGACCCGGGCTTAATTCCCGGGTCAGGAAGATCCCCTGGGGAGGGGAATGGCACCTACTCCAATATTCTTGCCTGGAGAATTCCAAGGACAGAGGAACCTGGCCAGCTACAGTCCATGGGGTTGCAAAGAGTCAGACACTATTGAGTGACTAACACTCTCACTTCCTCACCTGTAAAACAGGGATAATAACAGTTGTTGTAAGGATAAAATGAGAAGACTCATGTCAGCACTGGGTACATATACTCAAAATGTTATCTATGTCAAAGAAACATGCTTCACACTGTGTTTCAGAAATGAATCTTCAGAACTGACTAATTTTCTCAAGTAGGTCTGTAGGGAGTCTTGTTGTTCAGTCACTAAGTCATGACTAATATATAAAAGTGAAGCTACTTATATACTGGTGAAGCTATAAAACAAAATTAGTGAAGTCTTAGATAAGATTATGCAATTGTAATATAAACTCTATTTCAATTAAGATGAATAAACTAAAAAACAAGGATGAGTAAACCACAAACATAGTCTAACCCAAACAATTTTTCATCACAATCACAGTCTGATACATTCAATTTTCCACATCAGACATGTTAAACAAACAATGATGAAGGCAAGGTTACAACCCATAGGAGATCATAAGCCTCTTGTAATGAAAAAGGAGACTATCAGAGGAATGGGCTTCCCAGATGGCTCAGTGGGTAACTAAATAATCTGCTTGTGATGCAGGAGACACTGGTTTGATCCCTGGATTGGGAAGATCCCCTGGAGAAGGAAAATGGCATCCCATTCCAATATTCTTGACCAAAAAAATCCCATTGACAGAGGAGCCTGGTGGGCTGCAATCCATGGGGTTGCAGAGTCAGACACAACTGAGCAACCAAGCACAGCATTGCACAGCATCAGAGGAATAGTTAAAAATAGGAGGGGTTCTGGCTTCTCTTGTGGCTCAGTGGTAAAGAATCTGCCTGCCAATACAGAAGACATGGGTTCGATCCCTGGTCCAGAAATATCCCACATGCCGCAGAATAACTCAGTCCTTGTGCCAAAACTACTGAGCCTGTGCTCTAGAGCTGGGGAACCACAACTCCTGAGCCCAGGAACCGCAACTACTGAAGCCTGGGTGCCCTAAAGCCTGGACTCTGAAACAAGAGAAGCAACCGCAAAGAAAAGTCCAAGCATTGCAACTAGAGAGTAGCCCCCCTCACTGTGAATAAGGAAAAAACCTCCGGCAGCAATGAAGACTCAGCACAGCTGAAATAAATAATTTTTTTCTTTTAAAGTAGGAGGGGTTTTTGCTTTTCTCAGTGAACTAGCCAGGAATGGGATTCATGTTACAGAAAAAGAATAAACTAGCATAAAAACACCCCCCTCAATCCTGTTGTTTAGTCGCTAAGTCGTGTCTGACTCTTTGTGACCCCATGGACTGTTGCCTGCCAGGCTCCTTTGTCCATGGATTCAAGAATACTGGAGTAGGTTGCCATTTCCTTCTCCAGGGGATCTTCCCCATCCAGGGATCCAACTCGCCTCTCTTACTTCTCCTGCATTGGCAGGCGGGTCCTTTACCTGGGAAGCCAGGTAAGCAGAGATAAGCGAGGCTAATTTAGTGGGGAGAGGGGTCCCAAGTTATATGAAACGCTTAGTAGTGTTAATAAGAACATTAACTTATTGAGCCCTATGTGCCTGACGCTGTCTACGGCTTTGCGTGGAATACAGCCCCGTATGTACTCGTATCCCATTTTACAGACAGGAAACAAATCTGGAGAGCCAAGTTCACTCAGTCAGTGGGAGGGCAGGAACCCGGGTTAACTGCTATGCTACACAGCGTAGCAGTAACACAACTGCTACACAAAAACATGAAACGAAGAATTATTATCGACGGGCGCTTGAGAGCAAAGCACTTAGGGTCATTTGTGAGGCAGTATGAAAATGCTCCGGCGATGGGCTTGGATCCAGACCGTAAGACGAGACGCCCTGGCGGAGGGGGGCCGGGCTGGGAAGGCACCCGGGGAGTTGGCGCGCACAGTAACCGAAGGAGAAGCGGCGGAGCTGCCAGTCCTAGGCCCGCTTCCGGCAAGGGTGCGTGCGGGCTCGGCCCCTCGGGGGCAGGGCTAAGTACTGCGCACGCGCCGGGCGGGCCAGAGGGCTCCCTCCTGACTAGCTGCATGTCCGGTTTGCGGGCGCTTCTGGGGCTCGGGCTGCTGGTTGCAGGCTCGCGCCTGTCGCGCGTCAGAGTCCAGGCCGGCTCCTGTCGCGCGGGACCCACCTGGTGGATGCCGCAGCGGCTGATCTCGGGTGGCCGCGGGGACTCAGAAGTCATGGCGAGTTCAGCAGTGAAGTACCTGAGGTAGGCGAGGTTCTGGGCGGGCAAGGGTGGACTTGGGTGGAACCCAAGGGGGCGGGACCTGGGGCGGCCATGCCGCCAGCGCGAGGGAACACCTGAGGGGTGGGGACTCAGGCCGTGGGTTTCCTCAGCCAGGAGGAGGCCCAAGCCGTGGACCAGGAGCTGTTTAATGAGTACCAGTTCAGCGTGGACCAACTTATGGAGCTGGCCGGTCTGAGCTGTGCCACAGCCATTGCCAAGGTCAGTGGCACAACCCTCGACCTTTGGGGCAAGCCACTGTACAAGACCCCCGGCCTAGGCACGACTGAGGGCCGGCCGGCCAGGCCAAGCCTGGTCTGTCACTGCCCCAAGCCCCTCTGAATCCCCTTCGACTCTGCCTTCAGGCGTATCCCCCCACGTCCTTGTCCCGGAGCCCCCCTACCGTCCTGGTCATCTGTGGCCCTGGGAATAATGGAGGAGATGGGCTGGTCTGTGCTCGACACCTCAAACTCTTTGTGAGTATGTGGGGAAGGGCTGTGCGGGAGAAGTTTCCAAGACCTGGGCTTGAATTACCCCCTTCCTTTCCTCACAGGGCTACCAGCCAACCATCTATTACCCTAAAAGGCCTAACAAGCCACTTTTCACTGCACTGGTGACGCAGTGCCAGAAAATGGACATCCCCTTCCTTGGTGAAATGCCCCCAGAGGTAGGTGGCTCCAGTTTACTGCGCTCCTGTGTCCTGCTCTTCCCTCACCTTTCCAGGCTGAGCTCACTTATGAATCTTCCTCTCCAGAGAGTTATTAGAGGGCATGGAGAGTGCCTGGCACAGAAGGTGCCCAAAGCATGCTACCTGAATGGAATTGGTGTCATAGGGTGTGCTCCATTTATGAGCTGCCAGAAACCCCCTGGCTAAAGCTTTATTTCCCCTTAATCTCCCCTGGTCACTCCACACTGTAGCCAATTCCTCTTCCCCTAGCATGTGGTAAACACATTATGTGCCCCTCTTGGGAACTGAAGTGACTACCTTATCCTAAACCCTTTCTTCAGATGATGGATTTAGGAGTGGGAAACTTTGAGAACGTTTTAAAGTTTTAAAATTCCTTAGCACGTTTTACAGATGAAGAGACTGAGATGCAAAAGAAGGTAAGTGATTTGTCCAGAGTCACAAATCAGTTCACAGCAGAGGCAAGGCCAGAGCCTGTCTGTGCTGACTCCAAGTCTCGGGCTGTCCCACACTGTAGCCTCTCCAGTGGTTGGCAGACACGCCGAGCAGAAAATGCGACTGGACTCAGCTTGGCCTCAATCAGTGACTTGCACTGAACTCTAGGCCTCAGAATGAGATGAAAATTCTCCCCGTGCCTATGGTCTTTGGGTACAGAGGACAGACAGCCCTTTCCTGTTAAGGGTTCTTTGTGAAGCTGCTAGCTCTGACATCTTCTCCTGCTCTACCACAGCCGATGCTGATTGATGAACTGTATGAGCTGGTGGTGGATGCCATCTTTGGCTTCAGCTTCACGGGTGAGGTTCGGGAGCCATTCCGCAGCATCCTGAGCGTTCTGAATGGACTCACTGTGCCCATTGCCAGCATCGACATTCCCTCAGGTGCTGGGTCCAAGGAGGTTGGGGGGATCAGGGCTCTGCCCTGTCTTGAGGTAGGTACCTAGGAGTTCTTGCTCCTGATTCAAGGTTCAGACAGAGTCTAGAGGTGCAGAACACAGCCAAAGTAGGGCTGAGGAACAAAGAGTTTAGGAATGCCCTTTACATGTTGACTGTGAGACCAGAGCCCAGGAGTATGTGCAGCTCCAAGACATGATTTCCTCATGTGGAGACCCAGGGGGCTTCCCACTCCTTTAAGATTATTGCAGAGCAAGGTGTGGAAGGGGACTGGACATCTTGGTCCCTTCTGCTCTGACTAGCACCTTCTTTTCAGGATGGGATGTGGAGAAGGGAAGCTCTGGAGGGATCCAGCCAGACTTGCTCATCTCCCTGACAGCACCCAAAAAGTCTGCAACCCAGTTTACTGGTCGTTACCACTACCTGGGGGGTCGCTTCGTGCCACCTGCTCTGGAAAAGAAGTACCAGCTGAACCTACCACCCTACCCTGACACCGAATGTGTCTATCGTCTGCAGTGAGAGAAGGTGGGGGGGCATTCTTTTCAATAAAGACTTAGTGCCTCTCCCCCAGAACTGTGGAGTCCTGGGAGCTCTTCTGACAAGAACAGTTAAGACATGGCATAGCCAGAGAGCAACACTGGAGAGGTGGTGCACTCTCTCTGGGGGAACAATATGCAAGAGAGGTTTCTATGGCATTTGGGGGCAATGACAGTTGACTTTCAGATGCTGAAAAAGGCTCCCAGGTGAGGTGTGCATCCTTTACACACACAGAGTTCTTATTAGGGATGCAGATAGGGAGCTGGGTGAGGTTCTCTGAACTCTCTCCTTTCACTTAACAGCATAGAAAGACTACCAGACGTTAACAGAAGGAATTTCTTCAGAGGCCTCTGAGGAACTAATTTGTATTCAGGACCTTCCCAGGCTGAGAATGGAGATGATAGTCACAACTTATCTACAGGCTGGAAGACCAAGCTGATATTTATTCAATTTAGTATAGTTAGAAACTGGCAACCTATGGGCGGAATCTGCATGTTTTTCTTAGCCTTCAAAATAAAAAATCAGTATATTTTCCATAGATCTACATTTTCAGCTTCTTTTAGCCAAGATGCCTCTTCAGATGTCCGCATTCCCATTGCCACAGCTCCCCGCATCCTGGTCCCTTCGCTGCCTGGCCCCTGCAGGTGCCCGAGTTCACCATCTCTGGGTTGGATGCTGTAAGGGGGACTTGCCTCTCCCTCGACTCAGACATGGCACTAGCACTGTCCTCTCAGCGGACTGCTGTTCCACTGCTGCTTCCTCCTCGGGAGGGACTCCTCACTGAGAGGGTGCGTAAGACCTGCATCAGCTCAGGTCCCCAAGGCTTAAACTCCTGAAGAGGCATCAGGCGGGCCCCACCGTGACCTGGCCTTCAGTCTCTCTTCTTCTGTTTCTTCTTTTTTGCTTTCTGGCCAGTGCTGACTCCAGGGCCATCCAAGACTTCCTCCTGATGCTGCTGTCTTTTCTTCTTGCTTCTCCTCCTTTTCTGATCACTGCACGATCTGCTTTCTGCTTCTCTGGCCCCACTATCTACAACAGCCTCTTCAGCTCCTTCATCCTCTGTGTTCAGGTCGTCTTCCTCATGCTGCTGCCTGTTCTTGGTTCTGCCACATGGGTCCGTGTGCACTCTTCTCTCTGCTTCCTCTGTCCTGACTCCACTGACCTGACCTCCCTCGTTACCTAAGACCTCCATCTTCACCTTCTCCTCTTCACGGTGCTGCCTCCTCCTCTTTTTCCTGAGGGGCTGGTTGATGTGCTCTCTGTTTTTCAATTCCCCAAGCCCACCTGTTCTTGTGGTCTCGTCCTCATTTTCTAGAGCTATGCTCTCCTTATCTGTGACTCTTTCTTCTTGATGCCGTCTTTTCTTTTTCTTGCTTTTTCTGATGCTCTCGTCAGTCTGTTCTGAGAACTCTTTTGCACTCCTTTCAGTTGCTGTAGCCTCTTCCTCCTCTTCCTGCTTCCTTTTCTTTTTCTTTTTCTTGGGGGGCTTGCTCTCAGACTGCACTTGAGGGACCCCAGGGTCCTGGCCTTTGAGCCGAGCCAGGAAGGCCTGCTCCTGGGCCTCTAAGCGAGCAAGCTTGGCTTTCATTGTGATCCCAAGACGGGCAGCCCTGAAATAGATGGGGCCCAAGTCAGAGGGCAGAGAAGGCAATGGCACCCCACTCCAGTACTCTGGAAAATCCCATGGATGGAGGAACCTGGTGGGCTGCAGTCCACGGGGTCGCTAAGAGTCAGGCACGACTGAGCGACTTCACTTTCACTTTTCACTTTCATGCATTGGATAAGGAAATGGCAACCCACTCCAGTATTCTTGCCTGGAGAATCCCAGGGACAGAGGAACTTAGTGGACTGCCGTCTATGGGGTCCGCACAGAATCGGACACGACTGAAGCAACTTGACAGCAGCAGCAGCAAGTCAGAGGGAGGCTATCAGGGAAGAAAGGCCTAATCTTTGAGACTGCAGGGACAGTTGGTAGGGAGGAGCTACCTATCTTCAGGCAGCTTCAGAAATGGGCAAAGAGTAGGAATCATTTCCTCTGGGGTGAAAAGAGTGGTGCAGGCCACCCTCAATGGTGGGCTTGTGATGGGGAGAAAAGAAGGGAGCCCAGGAAGCCAGCCACTACTCACTTGTGTGCTGTTCGTCCCTCACAGGCCTGGAGCAGCATCTCATCGGTCAGACTGTCGGAGAGGGGTGGGAATCAGGAATTACAAATGGATCTGGTGGAAAAGCTTGACCTCTCCTCCCCTCTAAAACATTCACCAATGAGTTCCTATTCAGGACCTGGAAGTGCCAAAGATTAGTACAACAGTTCCACCCCCCAAGAAGACCACAGTCAAGCATTATACTGGTCCTTTCTTCTGAGATTTGAAGGCATCTCCTCCCATGTGCCCTAGCACTAGAAAGAAGTCTCACACATTTGGAGGCTTGGGCTCCTGGCTGTCGTCATCACTGCAGCTTTCCCAGTCCTTGTCTGGCTTCTCCCCACTTGAAGTCAGTGTGGCAGTCTAGAAGGAGGAATCACGGGGATGGACAAGGCCCACTCAACACCACCATCATCCCACTTCCCTTCTGGAAACCACCCCCAACCACCATCTCAAATAGCCAGAGGCACAAATCTGTCAGTCCCCAACATCACTCCTTACAGATCTCCACAGAGGTGTGCCAACCTGCATATGTCAACTTGGGCAGGAAGTGGACTGCAGCTGGGAATGGGTGGGGCAGGGGCAGTCCTGGCTCCCTGGCCCACAGCCAGCTAGCTAGTGGGCAGAACAAGAAGGGAGGGACAAGGGATTGGGTCACCAGGTCTTCACAGTGGGACAAGTGCCCCCTGGTGGTCATCCCATGGTTCTAGTAACAGACAATAAAGATGGTTCTTTTCACAACCTGTGCGCCCCCCTATCCTGGCTCCATACCTATGCACAGTTCTTTGTTTAACCAGGTTAAACAAAGCCTACTATGGATTAAAAGGCTGGGGATACAGAGTGGAATAAGAATGAGATGGGTGCAGCCAACATGGACCCTACATGGTTAACAGGGAAGAGACGTGGCAGAATGTAGGCAATTATGAAGAAAATACTGGCGGACTATAGTCCATAGTGTCCCCAAAGAGTCAGACATGACTTAATTGACTAAACAACAATTATCTCTGCTAGAGAAGGGGTACCCGACTCAGGCTTCAGGGCTTGGGGAATAGTTCCTACAAGTAACTCAGCTTTGAAAGACAAGGAAAAGGTCAGCAAGTAAAGGAAGCAGAATGTCCCAGACAGACGGAGTATATGCAAAAATTTGAAAGTGAAAAAACATGGTACCTGAAAAAGATTCAGAATCAATCTGGCTAAAGTGTAGATAGAGGTCCTGATGGCAAGAAACACGCTAGGGAAGAAGGCAAGGACAAGGCCTGAAGGGCCATCTGAGCCAGTTTGACACCGTTAGACTGTGTCATCCTAGGTCAAGGAGGAGCCAGTGACACAGTAAAACTTGTGTTTTACAGAGAACACTCTGGATGCTTTGTGGAGGATGAACTGATTGGCATGGGGATTGAGACTACGGTGAGAAGCCTAGCTAGTTATGAGGCTATGAAAGAAATTATGCAGGAGATGATGGTCTGAACTGGGGCAGAAGATGGCCACGGAGATGAATGGGAAAGATCTGGATAACATGTAGAGCCCTTAAGCACGTAAGAGAAGGTCGTTAAATGTCAGCTCCCTTCCATTGGCATGCTAGAAAAGGGAAGTCTGAACACCTGGGTTCTAGTCCTTGGCTAGAACAGGCTTTTATTGTTACTAGCCACCTGTGGGCTCTTCGGTGAGCCACCTCCCCCCTGTCGGCCACATCTGCTAAATAAGACAATGGGTCCAATAATCTCTCTGGCTTCTGAGTCCTTTGAAATAGATGCCCCCTCCCTGCTCTCCTCTGACAGCTCCTGACTGTCCCCCACCTCCCACTCCCTGTTACAGCCCCCTCAGCAGATGGCAGGGATCCATGCAGCCTGAAGGTTTCAATTCTTGCTGAGGATCTGGGCAGTCTAGGTCAGCAACAGGAAGGACAGTCACAGGACCCTACTCTTAGGGCAGTCCTGAGATCAGGTAGGGCATGCAAGGCAATTGTTCAGACCCCAAGAGACCAGGGAAGGGAAAAGGGATAGGCCCTCTCACCCCCAGACTCTAGTACCTTCACAAACTTCTGATACAGCAAGTTGGGCTTGGCATGATCCTGACGGGTGGTCTCCTTAGACAGGCGTCTTATCTGTACTCCGTCCTGTGGGGAAGTATGTGTGAGTGGGTACCATGTCTCCCTCACCCCCACGTGTCCCAGGCCCTGTGTTTTACATGCCTACTCTTAGAGCTCATACCTGCCTAGTTTCCACCACCAAGTTGGCTGCAGTCTTGTTGAACAGATCATTCCACCAGTGATTTGTGAACTCCTTGGCGGGGTCATGTCCCACCTGCCAGAGAAGTATGAACTCAGGACTTGTCATTCCCCTCCCTCACCCTTTCTTCAAGGCCCCCATCTCCCATCCCCACTGACCTCCCTCAGTCTGTCCAGTCTTACCCCATGAGTGTCCTGCTTCAGCGTCACCCTGAGGGCCTGGGTGATACCATTCTCCTTCCGGCCCAAGCCTTTGCCTGCAGAAGACAGTGAATGACCTGGCTTATTCCACTGCCTGCCCTAAGCCCTCACAAAGCAACCCCGGCACATGCCACTCTTTGTCATTCCCCACACCTAGCACTGGGCATGCCCTGTCCTTCTCAGAAACCCTCCCAGTTCCACTCTTTCTAGCACCTCTCCATACGGTCTTCATGTCTTTGAGCCCAAACTCTCTTTTCCCATAATTCTCTCAGGACAGAGGTCATCTCGTTCCCACTCCCAGTTCTCTCAGCCACTTCCTTCTCGCTATCCACAGTCATATTTCTCCCCTTTTCTGAAAATATCAGCAATTTTCTTCTGCAAATTTTCTCTTTAACTTTTCCTCTTCCGTTGAACAGACTACCTAGAGGTTAGTCCAGGTTAATGCCTCTCCCCCTGGGCAAAGGGTAGTGAGGGAGTTGGGGGATGTGGAAGGGGCCCCATGGGACTCACCTTGAGTCCATCCATGCTTAAGCAACTGCTCCTCAGCAAACTTCATCCCCCGACTCTTGACCTCGGGGGTGATACTCATGGTGAGAAAAGTCACTATCCTCAGGCTCTCACTGGAGAAGAAGCAGTCACTGTCATCCCTTTAAGAGGAAAGGAGAAAGTGCTCAAATCATGCACCAAATCCATACTGACTGCTCTTATAAGAATTCTTTCCTGGAGCTGGAACAGAGACTGAGCTGGGAGGCCTGGTTCTTGGGGAGCTCCCTGACCACTGAGGGGTCAACATGCTGAAAGTCAAGGAGGACTGGTACTAATGATAATACCTAAATTTATGGAGAGCTCACCACACATTGGGCTTTGCTAAGGCTCTGCATGGATCATTTCATGTAATAATCCCAGCCCAGGAAGATTTCCTAAACTTTGCATTCAGGAAAGTATTACTATCCTTTTGTACAAATGAGG